GATACCTACTGTGTACAATACATTTTAATAGCATTCTACTCTCCTAAACTTAGTGTTGCCTAACATAAGTGCACTAGTACTAAAACTTTCTGTTTAGAACTGACCTCATCAGTAGTACCAGAAGTAAAACCTAATTAAGACCAACAGGAATTACTGCTAACAATCATTCAGGAATAAGAAATACAACCCAGGTCTTGGTTCTCTGGTCCATCATCCTCTGCCTATAATTACTAGCTCCAAGGGAGTTCAACAGCAACAATACTTAGGACTCTACTTCCGCGCTAAGAGAAAGGACACTTTTACTTTTGGCTAGATGTGAAGAAAGAACTATACATTCAAAATTGACTTGAACTGCCATCTTTCAACCATAAAGGTGACCACCATGAAAATGGCTTCATAGCAGGCAATGAAGCAAGGTCAGAGAGTCCAAATGTCTCCAGGCCACCCTGCTTCAGGAATATTTAGTAATTAATACCCTATAGCAATCTTTTTTATGTTGTACTAGGCATCAATCCTATGGCTTTCTGCATGATATACACATGCTGTACCACTGAACTGCATCCCCAGTCCTAATACTTTATCTTGATTTATTTTTTTGTTTGTTTGTTTTTTGAGACAGGGTTTCTCTGTAGCTTTGGAGCCTATCCTGGAATTCACTCTGTAGACCAGCCTGGCCTAGAACTCACAGAGATCTGCCTGACTTGGCCTCACAAATGCTGGGATTAAAAGCATTTCTTAAAGTCTATCTAGAGTTCTTCTCTTCAGCTACCATGACTCTGATCTTCTCTAATGACAGGTTACCCAAAATTTTCACTTCAATGAACTTCCTGTGTAAATGGATATCTTTAACCATATTTCCATAGGATAAATTTCTAGATGTAAATTTACTAGATCACAGTGCATTCTTGCTTTTCTGCAAGAGTATTTTTCTCACAACAGATCTAGGATCCATGACTGTCACCATCATTATCACAGCCATTTTTATCTACAGTCTACCCTTTTCTCCAGTCTCCTTGTCCACAACCTGTGTTGGAAAACATCCAAGGGAGATACTGTCTTCCAATTTCACTATCTTTCCTCCAATTTTTGTCATTAAGAGGAACTGAATTACCCATAATCTAAATTCTACACATTCCATTCTGGTTTATTTGTTTATTTGTTTTTCTTTGGTTTTTTGAGACAGGGTTTCTCTGTATAGCCCTGACTGTGCTGGAACTCACTCTGTAGAACAGGCAGACCTTGAACTCACAAAGATCCACCTACTTCTGCCCCCCAAAGTGCTGGGATTAAAGGGATACACACCATTCTGTGCCCAACATTCAAATACTTTTCAAGGTTATGTCCCCTAAGAAATTCATCTCCAACATCTTTTGAACATCCCTTTCTCCATCAATGGTTTCCATTGTCCTCACCACCTGGGTAGTTTTTACTTTGTTTTTAATTTTTTATTATAATCTTATAATCTCACTCTGGATGTTGTCCAGGCTGACCTCAAATGTATGGGTGATGCCCCTGTTTCAACTTTCCTGAGTGCTGGGAGCACACATGAGCCACCATTCTCATCTACATGTCATGGACAGCTGAAATTCCAAAGCTTTAACTGCTTTCCTGCATACTCCCTTAGCCTCAGTGCTGTTCTTGGTTTTATTCTTTCCTGAAAAACTAACCTTAACTAAATGAAAGGAAGTTTCTCCCATCACTTTTGCCTACATACATAGATGCTGCTGAATTAGTGTATCAGGTGGGGGGGGAGAGGGAGGAACACAAAATTGACTGGTCTTCCCTTTAAATCTCCAACTCTAAGGGAGTCATCTGTACTTCCTGGCAATCTGCAGTTTTTCCTTTACCTATTTACTATCCTCCCTACCTCTGATGGCAATTTTATAACATTCCTCTCTCCTTAGACCTCCTTCCCCATCTTCACCCTCAGTCCATGACCTTGTTTCCAATTGCAACAAGCTCTTAATCCAAAATGAACATTGGTTCTCCACCTGAGGGTCATGACCCCTTTGGGGGTTAAATCACCCTTTCATAGGGCTCACCTACGACCATCTGCATATCAGATAGTTACATTAAAATTCATAACAGTATCAAAATTACAGCTATGGAGTAGCAACTAAAATGATGTCATGGTTGGAGTCACAACTGGAGGAACTGTGTTAGGAAGGCTGAGAACCACTGCTCTTGAGAACCATGACTAATAGAACATTTAAACAAAGAAAAAGTAAAACTATTTCTATCTTAACAGATAGCACAATCCTATACGTAAAAATCCTGTGGAACTGACAAGAAAACTACTAAATCTAACCAAAAAAAAAAAAAAAAAAATTCAACAAAGTTTCAGAGTTCAAGATCAACACATAAATATCTGTTCTCACACAGCAAAATGAATAATCTAAAAGAAAGAAAGCAATGCCATGTACAACAGCATTTAAATTAATAAAATATCTAGAAAGCTGGTTTAAATAAAAAAGTCTTGTTCAGAAGCTGCATTTCTACATGTAAAAGAGTGAAGATGAACTCTTAATTCAAAATAAATACAAACTGGAATAAAAAAGTTAAACCTAAAAAATTAAAATAAAATAACATGATATTATGGATAGAAAAAATCATGAGGAAGAAACTATCAATAATTTAAAGGATAAGTAAAATATGGTTCATATACATACACCCTTATGTACAAGATGAAATATAATTCACCCTTAAAATGGGAATTAAGCTATAAACCACAGCGTAGATGGACCTTGAAAACACACTGAACCTCACCTGTCAGAAACAAAAAGGACAAATATTTATGGTTCTATTTAGATGAATTATCTGAAATGGGTGGCTTCATAAGAGAAAAGATATTATTACAAATTATTGAGGCCTGAAAAGAGGAGGCAATGGAGTTGTTGCTCCATGGTTACAGAGTTTCTGCTTAGGATGAAGAGAAAGTTCTGTAAATAGGGCTAGGGTGTGCTCAGTAAATGATATTTAGCATGAGCACCAAAAACAAGCAAACAAGAACACAAAGTAACAACAAAAAAATACAGTTAAAATTATTAAGTTAGCAAATTATACACATATATGTATATATTTTTACAATTTTAAGGAGTTTTGTTTGTTTGCTTGCTTGTACTTTTCAAAACAGGGTTTCACTGTGTAGCTCTAGCTGTCCTAGAACTCCTTCTATAGACCAGGCTGGCTTTGAACTCACAGATCCACCGTCTCTGCTTCCCTGGGTGCTGGGATTAAAGGCTTGTGCCACCATTGCCTAGCTTTAAGGATTAATCTAATAAAGTTGTTTCCCTGACAAGTCTCCAATAGTTCCCAACTCTTCATGATGAAGCCTCAAATTTCCAACACAATCAAAATCCTGCAAAGAATCTCTGGTCTCATTTTCCCTGCCTTAGTGGCCCTTCTAGGTTGCTCTTAACTATAAGCAGCCTCCTTCAGGCTTTTGCACTTTCTTTGCCCAGGGACAGTCACAGGGTGACTTGTCCCTTCCCTCACAGTGAAGATCCATTGGAAAACTATAGTTCCCAGCCCCCCTGGCCTCTATCTTCTTTCACTTTTACTTTGACAAGCTATACATGGTATTTCCTGTGTCTCCACTAAAATTTAAGCTCTAAAAGGATAGATTTTTCTCCCTGTTTGATTCATGTTGTTTTCTCTAATGCCTTGGGTAGTGCTCAATGATTATATGCTTAATTCACACAGAACTGGGCTGTCATTCTACAGCAGAGCGCTGTAACAAGGAGGTGAGTAGAGGATTCCATCCTCAAGGCAAGAGGGGAAAGGAGGGGAAGACTAATACTCAATGACATCAAGTACCCAACTGCCTCATCCACCCAGGCTTTGCATACAGTTGCTAACACAAGGTCAGGAAGAGCATCGCTGAGTAGACAGAACTGTCTTGAGTTCGAGAAACCCTGTCTCAACAAAACCAAAGAAAAATAAAACCTAAATTATTGTCATTTGGAGGGCTCTGAATTAGCATCCTAAGGATTGCTCTCCAGGTTTTTTACCACGTCTATCAGAAAACAAGGCAACAAGCCTATTAAGTACAATAACTTGAACTTAAGAGATCCAGTACAATTTGCCCATCCGTGGAAAGCCGGTTGCTTCCCCTGACTTAGTTATGTCAGCTTCAGCCCTCATCTGAAATCCCAGACTCTCTGGGCGCGAGGGAGAGCAGCTGCGGGCGGAAGGGGCGGTAAAGTTCACTAACTGACGGGATCAGAGTAGGCCTGAGGCTCCAAGGACCCTTTCCCCGGGATCTGGAGGAGAAAGGGGGGCAGGTTTCCTTTCCAGGAACCTCCCCAACACAACCCCAGGGGTCTGCCCAGCGGGCCAGAGGGTCACCAACGATTCGAGGTGCGTAGATATAGCCAGGCAGGGTACGCAGAGGGGAGAAGCAAAGCGTGGGAGCCACGTTACCCTGAGAACAGCCACATCCACGGTCTTCTCCTTCAGCAGGATGACTTATGGAGGGCTGAGGACCAAAGCCCACAACCCAGGCGTCGGGCGAGGTCCCAAATATACTAACTTTATACCAGTAAGCGCCCAGGTGCACGGCTGCTCTGCAGACTGCCCTCCCCTGCACTCTGCCCGCGGCCCCGCCTAATTTCTCCCAGCCCCGCCGCCCTCCCACCGCAGCCATTCCCGTAGGCCGGCGCAGCGCGCGTGCTCAAAGCTGACGGCCGCTGGGCACGCCGGGAAATGTAGTCTGGGAACAGGTGCGGGCGAGCCGCGGGAAGTCACAGGCTCCCGCCACCTCTCCAGCCGGCTGTCACGCACGCCGGGTCCCCGCGCGCTGGCTGCCGTCAGGGCGCGCCCGGAGACAGCCCGAGCCCCCCTCTTTCCGCTAGCGCGGCTGAGGAGGCGGGGTCCGCAGCCCGGCCCCGCCGGCAGCTCCCCGCCCCCCTCCCGCCCTCCCCGCGGCGTGAGGCCGGTGCCCGAATCCAGGCAGCGGCCGCAGGAGGCGCGGCGGCGGCGGCGGCGGCGGCGGTGGGCGCCGCAGGCGATGCCCCTGCCCCGCTGCTCCGGCGGGGGGCAGAGCGCGCGGCGGCGGCGGGGAAGGAGGCGGGGAGGAGGCGGCTGCGGCGGAGGGGCCGAGAGCTGGCGGCGGCGGCGGTGGTCGTGAAGGGCATCGGTGGCGCTGACGGAGATGATGTGAGTGTCGGCTGGCTGGGGGACCCCTGGGGCTGCCGAACCCGAGCGGGGCGGCCGGCGGCATGCGGGGATCGGAACGGGAGGCCCGGGGCGGCCGAGGGATGCTGCGTACGCGGTGCGGAGCCGGCCGAGGCCGGAGCGCGAGAGCCGGGCCAGAGCGGGGGTTCCGGGCGGCGGCGGCGGGGGCTGTGCGGACCCAGGGGCGTCTGCGATTGTTCTCAACACCCCTCCCCCATCCCACCCCGTGTGTCTGTTTGTCACTTGCAGCTGAAGATGGAAAGAGCCAGGCGAAGGGGAGGTGGCGGCGGCGGCGGCCGTGGTCGCGGAGGCAAGAATGTAGGGGGCTCTGGCCTAAGCAAGAGTAGACTCTATCCCCAGGCCCAGCACTCTCACTTCCCCCACTACTCCGCGTCAGCCACCCCTAATCAGGCTGGGGGCGCACCCGAAATTCAGGAGCTGGCCTCCAAACGAGTGGACATCCAGAAAAAAAGGTTTTACCTAGACGTGAAGCAAAGCTCCCGGGGCCGCTTCCTAAAGATAGCTGAAGTCTGGATAGGGAGAGGCCGGCAGGACAATATCAGAAAGAGTAAACTGACCCTCTCCCTGTCGGTGGCAGCAGAGCTGAAGGACTGTCTAGGCGATTTCATCGAACACTATGCCCACCTGGGTCTGAAAGGCCACAGGCAAGAGCATGGCCAGAGCAAAGAGCAAGTCTCCAGGAGGCGGCAGAAGCACTCTGCCCCCTCCCCACCAGTGTCGGTGGGGTCAGAAGAGCATCCTCACAGTGTCCTCAAAACAGACTATATCGAGAGGGACAATAGGAAATACTACCTAGACCTAAAGGAGAATCAGCGAGGCCGCTTCCTAAGGATCAGGCAAACCATGATGCGGGGCACTGGCATGATAGGTTATTTTGGCCACAGTTTGGGCCAGGAACAGACTATTGTCCTCCCTGCACAAGGAATGATCGAGTTTCGTGATGCCTTGGTTCAGCTGATTGAAGACTATGGCGAAGGAGATATAGAAGAACGAAGATGTGGTGATGAAGAGCCGCTTGAACTCCCAGAGGGGACCTCTTTCAGAGTGGACAATAAAAGGTTCTACTTTGATGTGGGCTCTAATAAATATGGAATTTTCCTGAAGGTAAGTGAGGTGAGGCCACCTTACCGTAATACTATTACTGTTCCATTCAAAGCTTGGACAAGGTTTGGGGAGAATTTTATCAAGTATGAAGAAGAGATGAGGAAAATTTGCAACAGCCATAAAGAAAAGAGAATGGACGGCAGAAGGGCCAGTTGTGAAGAACAAGAATGCCTCGACTAGCATGATATTGAACTCCATCAGGCAAAATTCAAAAATCATTAATTGGCTAAAAGTACCGATCCACAATCATTTGAAGAAGTTTTCCCTCTTTCGGGCCCCTTGTTATTAGTAATACCTCTAATAGTTTATACTTCAAGAAGTCTTGATTCTCATGTTCTGTTACACATAGATCACTATGATTCTCTTGGGAATTCTAACCTCCCCAGAGCTAAATAGCTGAGCTGCTTGAGCTGCTCCAGATGATTGAAGTATGCAGATCAGCACAAATCGTGACATTCTGACCGTTAAACACCATAGTTAAGATTTACATTGCACTATGACATAATCCTGAAAATGATGCATCTACTTAATATGAAAGTGTGAATTTCTGTTTAACAAATCCTCCCCCTCCCCAAAGAAAGTCCCATTCATGCTTCATTAAAAGTTGCTAAGTTTACCTGTAGGACAGTTACCACAGAAATAGAAATTGACCTCCTAGTATAAGTCTTTATGAAAGTACGAGTAGGAATATATTGTTTATTGGATAACTGAATATTAACTAATACCCCTCTAAAAGATCAAATATTTTTAGGTAATTAAACCTTTCAAATACAATGTCAAATTCCTTAACAGTTACTATATATGTTCTATAATTTCAAATTTTGTGGTAACCCTACAGTTTTAGTTGCCATATCAAAGCCATGGAAGAGTTTTAATGAATTATTCTAAACTAGTTACAATCTCATCTCTGTTTCCTATACTACATATTTTATTGACTTTGCAAAGTTTGGAGAATTATGTTTATATCACTGTTGAGAGGGAGGCTTCACCCTGTGGCTTTGCTATGGAAATTTTGATGTTCTAGCCTTTTATGGTCATTTGCATTTGTTTGGTTTTTTTTTTTTTTTTCTTAAAATCTGTCATGGACGTTCAAAGTTATATTTTATGCTTCCCTGTTCATGTATTTCATAGGGTTGGTGCACCAGCTGATTGAAAAATTAGGTGTAAAAATACATCTAATATATTTTAGTAGCACTTTAGCATTTGCTGCCCTTAAAACCATGTCACACTTCCATTATAAACCTGATATTGATACAGATACTTTAACTCCAAAAGAAAAACCTTCTTTTACTGAGAAGAAAAAAGAAAAAAGCATTTAGAATACAAACTTACGGTCTGGGAAATACAATATTTGGAAATGAGATTGGTTATAAACATTTAAAAGGAAAATTCAGGCAATTTCCAAGGTGCTCCTCTGATTCTTAAAGAGGTTTACTCTATACAAGATGTATCCATTTGCCTGTATTAAAACTCACTTTCCAGAAAGTGCCACCTGAATTTTTAAACACTCAAGCAATTTTTAAACAAGTGGGTATAGAATATACATGTACCAGTACCCCTTATTAACTGACTAAAATTTCATCTGTTGGGATACATTTTATTCTAAATGAAATTGTGTTTGGTCCTAGGATCAGTTACTGCCCCACAGTAAGTCCATATAATCATGTTTAAGAGACAAGACACTGTTTTCAACTCCTCAAATACAGTTCTCGTTGGTAGGAGCTGGCTGGGAGGATTGAGGACAGAGTGTGGTTCTTCTCTGATATGTTATAAGTAATTCAGAATTTATTTTTAACTATTTTCTCTTTGGAACTTTTTCCCAAGCACATTACACTTAGGTCACTACGGAAACTGTGGGATTAAGAAAGTTGATTTCATCGGTTTCTGGTACTTAAGAACAAGCAGCTAGTAACCCAGACATACCTACTGCTGTTGGTTGCAGATTATATTTCACATTTCTTGAAGTACTATGATGGAGTCTCACTCAGTTCATTATCATTGTGAACCATCTGGATCACGGGAACAACCGAAGGTTAGAAGATAATGTTAGTACTAAAGTCAATAGCACATGGTGGGTGTTGAGACTATAAAAGTAGCAAGGATTCTTAAACAGTCCTAACTGTAAAATAACGTAACTATTTAGGCTTGCTAAAAAGTAGTTTGGGTATATGAAGGAGTGGTGTGCACTTGAATTACTGTACTACTGATTGTTATTGCTGCCCATCATAGTGCCTATCAATAATAATTAACCTGTCAGATTTCGGCAAACTGGAGCTGTGAATATTCCATTATTCAATTGTTCCTATCACTATTGCTGTGAGTGTATGCTCTCTCTTAAAATCTTCCTTTTAAAAATATTTATATCCATTAGGATGAACTGATTTCTTTTTGGTTTTTAGTCTGATGAGGTTTGAGTGTGTATATACATATGTGCATATATACACACAAGATACTATGTCAGAAATGAAGATAAATATATTTAATTCACTGTATATACATATTATTAGCTTCATTTCACATTATTTAAGTAAAGAACTAGTTAAATAGCCAGATTTTCTACCCTGTATGTATACTTCAAAGTTTTTGCCATCTCAAAGCTACAGATTGGGTAGATACATATATACTGGCAATTGAACACACTCTAGAATCACTAAAACTTTTACCAATCCTTTGTTTGCCTTTACATAGTTAATATATTCATTGAAAAATGGTATGATGATATGATTTTTTTTGATACTTAAAATTCCCAAGAGTTCATTAGCCATAATTGTGATCCAGTTCAAACATCTGGATTTAGGATGTGTATTACCATGTATCTTATAAAATAAGCTACTATTTTTATCTGTGCAATATAAATTTTATTTATTGTCATTTGTAACCTAAGTGGAGCTGCAAGTGTACATGGTATTCTTCAAAATAACAGGATCCTTGCCTTGAAGGCATTAAACTCTTAAGGAAACTGGGTGTTAGAAGTAAAAAAGAATGACCATTGAAGTTAGTAACCAAAATTACTAGTTCACTGTATAATACTAAAACATTGATGGTGTTTGCACATAGTAATCGAACGTAATGTGGACAGACTCAAACTATAATAATATAAGCTAATAGTATAAAATCTGGAAACGGGTTCCTCAGTAGTTATGTGCTCCTAACGATTGAAAGCAGCACACTAGGGCTGCTTATATGCAAAAGATGCAATGTATTATAAAGATATTCAAGTTCTGCCACATTTTATCATTTTCCTTCTTAAAGCCCCAAACTGCCATGTCCCTTAAACTTGAGTCAAACACAAGCTTATTTGCACTAAAGAGCATGGCCAAAAAAAATAAATAAATAAATGACAGGGTGGAAAAGCTATTTAGAGCCTCTTGAAATAATTGGTTCTAATGGGAGAATTTCACATTTGTCTATTTGAAAGCTATATGGTCCAGGCAGACAATCTGTCAGTTCACTAATTTAATAATGCACTTTACCTTTTGTATATAGAAGATGTACATTTACGCCACTTGACAGGCAGGATGTGTTTCAGTAACTATGTAGTTAGAATCTGTAGGGTGATCTCTTGCATGCACATGTTTGTGTTAGAACTATTGTAACAGGTTTCCATTAAGCCGGTATAATGGAAAAGGACAGAAGATGGTTTTAAGACAAATCTCAGTTCATTTAACAAGGAATTTTAAAGTAGATTTCATATTTGTATTAAGGACTAGAATAATATAAAACTAATCCAGATTAGTATTGCAGTTCAGACTATATCTACTTGGGACTTCCCATAATACTCTAAAAACTGAATTGGGGAATCTGGCCAGATAACTTTCTTAATGATTCTGTTTCATTGTTAAAATGTGTTTAAGTTATAAAAGGGCAGTACATGCTTCAGCGCTAGAATTAAAAGTATGGTTAGCTTATGTTTTGAAAATCACCAGACTAAAGAAATAGTTTCAAGTAAGGAATATAAAGAGCTTTATAAGTTGCTAAAATAAATAGGATATTTTAAAGTCTGCAAAAAGTATTAACCTTCACATCTCAAAAGGGAACTGGGGGATTTGGTACATCCTTCTACCCTGAACACATTTGAAGATGTATATTTGAAAACTAGATAATTGTTGCTTAATAATAGGTTGTATGTACTTTACTGAGAAACACTGTGTACTAACAATTCATCAAGAGTGTGCTATATTTATTGCATTCATTTTATATCTATAGATAAGAAACATTATATATAGTCACCCTATCTTAATATAATCTTGTATTTATATTGTAATTTTGCAAATATTTTCAGTAAAATAAACATTTATCTGAGCTGCACAGTTTGAAGAGGATGAAATTGGAATATACTCTGAGATAGTCGTTTTTACTTAGCAGCTACCATTGAAAAGTGATGTATTTATTGTCATTCCTTTAGATTTGTTTTATAGTTTATCTAATATTTAAATGAGGCTTAATTTGAGTTTTAATTTGTTGTCTGAAAACTGGGATCTTTATGTAAATTTTTCTTGCTTCCTTCCAAGTGTCTTTCACTGAAACCATGACATCCTCTTCCAAACTCTAGGGGAGGGCTTTAGTGAGTCGCCACCTATTCTGAAATCTGTCTTTACCCAAACACCAAAAGTCTTTGGCAAGACGTTTTGTCAAAAAAAAGTTAACATTGATTCTGTGCCCCCAAAATGGCTCATATCAAAGATTTGTCATTGCCAGATAAGATTCCTTACAATCTTTCTGAAGTTTCCTTAAGGATTTCTTGACTTTCATAGAGGAATTGTGGCTAATGGCTAGCTCATTGAATGAGGTGAATACAGGCTTCACCTGCTGTTGAGACAGTCTGTGATCTACAGTATTACAGCACTGTGGTACAGGAAAGATTCCAATATTGTATGAAGATTGGGTTTTTAGATCACAGGAAATCAACAATAAAAGAAATATGGTCAAATGTGCATAGGTAGATTTTATGGGAAGTTTTTACTATTTTCTTGAATAATAGAAAAAAATCAGCCTTTGTTCTTAATCTGATGTGACAGTTTTCAGTCACTTAAATTTATTTTAATAGTAAGTTTTAACATTTTAGTAGGAAAAAATATTCATATAGTACCAGGTTAATGGGACTAAGGATATAGTTCAGTAGATGGAGTATTTGCCTACAATGGAAAACCCTGGGTTTGATTGCCACACTACTTATAACACCCACACTGGGGAGATGAAGGCAGGAAGAACAAAGCCCAGGGTCATCCTCGACTACATAGCAAGTTTGAGGACAGCTTGAGCTACATGAAACTCTGCCTCCAAAATAATAAGATGCTACAGTAAACATTGAAAAGTAGCAACTAGTGTTATCACTTTCTTGTGTTTCCTTTTAGAGTCATTCTCATGTACAGGCATGCATATACATATATTCTTTTTAAATGCATAAACATATGCACCTTCCCATACCTAACAGTATCAACTTTAGGTCTGGCATTTAAGGAATTATTTTCTTTTTACTAAATGCCATGTTTTATTTGGTTAGCATATCATTTAGTTTTATACAGGAAAGACATCGAGAAAATAGCATGTGACTCCATTGATATTGATTTAGATTACAGATGTCTGTTTATTTTTTAAGTGTAAAAATATGCGATTTCACATCCTAGTTTTCTTTAACCACCTCACCTTCCATATCACCCTATTTTTCCTCTCTCAAAAAAATATTGCTATTTTCTCCTGAAGTAACACATTAGTTCAGGAGGATCTGGGTATTCATAATATAGCCAAGTGGTATGTGAGGTTAACTGTTCTCTAATGAACAGCACTGATATTTAAAAGCTTTAACAAATTGTAGCTTTCGATTCTTACAAGCTGTGCTGCTGTTTTTGCATCCAAAGACCTTGCCATTATGAGTACATGAACATTAGAACTGCAGTGAAAGATTTGATATTATGGCTTTGTTGAAATCACTTGATTTATTAACATAAAATATTCGTCTGTATAATAAGAAAGGTATAAAGCTTATTTAACAGCTCTTCAAATCCAACTCTACACAAAGAAACAGCACTGTCCCTAAGCATTTGAAGCACTATATTTTGGTTTGTTTGCTTCTTGAATTTGTTTTGGAGTGTGTGTGTGTGTGTGTGTGTGTGTGTGTGTGTGTGTGTGTAGTGTGTGTGTGTGTGTGTGTGTGTGTGTGTGTGTGTGTGTGTGTGGAACTGAGGGCCAATACTGAGCAAACACTCTGCCGCTAAGCCACTTCCAAGCTCTGAAAAAGTTGGGCTTTTTTTTTTTTTTTTTTTTTTAATGGACCAGAGTCTGTCAGAAATTCTGGGCCTATGATGATTTGGGGAATGAGTGGCTATAAGTACAACTAAGTCATCTGCTGGAAAAATATGACATAGCAAATGTAACTGTTGAAAAATAAGGTTAGACAAAAGAAAACAAGAAGTGTCAGGTATTACTATTCCTGAAAGTGTAAGCAAAACTACTTTAATAGTTCTCCGACATTTCCTGGGGGGGGGGGGACGACATACAGATATATACTATAAGACCTCTTTTCTGTTGACTACCAAGAAAAGAAAAGAAAAACCTGAAACATTATAAATGTTCTGCCCTTGAACCCTTCAGTTTTATAAGTGAAAGCAACCAGGGTAAAATATCTAACAGAATTAGAAATAATTAGAATATATCTTAAACATAGATTGAGGGGTTCTTTTTTAATTATTTATTTTTATTTTATGTGTATCGGTGTTTGGCCTGCATGTATGTCTGTATGAAGGTGTTGGATCCCCTATAA